TTCTGGTCGGAATAGTCCTTCAGGGACTCCCATTAATTCAAGGGGTTCTTTTTCAATCAGACACTCATTTTTTTAAGGTTGTGGTTCAAGTGGTGACGTATGAAAATGACAGCTTGTGCCTTTTAGGCATCGGTGCTCTATGACTTAGCAACAAAAAACTTGACTCAATTCTTTAGATGCTGAATATATTTCAATATCAAGAGCTCAAACTAAATAATTGCTTCATTCATAAGTGAGCTCAATAAATTTACATTTTTAATGAAAGGCATGATCCATAAGATCATCATTTGATGCAACTTATACTTACAGAAACAGTAGTTGATATTCATGTGAAAAACATGTCTTGTAAGCAAATTTCAAATAGAATGTGAAAAGGGAATATTTCACATGTTCTCATACAGATTCATATCTCTCCATGTAGTCAGTTTATATATATATTTTTCAAAAGAAGCATAAATGCCAAAAATGGGGAATAGTACATAATCAATCTACATGATCAATATAGTAAATATTATCTTTTCCTAAGGCATGAAGTCATTTTAAGTGAATATAGTAAATTCCAATAATGGGAAATAGTGCAAGAATCATTGTTTCACTGGCAAATATCAAACACGTGTATATTTAACCCATATATATACAGATGAACACATTTACATTTGCACGTATATACATACAATTTAACATATAACACATGTATTTACCATTTCAAAGCATCATGGCATATGTAGAACCTAACTCATATACATGAATTGAGAGAATAAATAAAAATAATATGTATTTACAAATTCAAGTTGACAGGATAATAGGGCTGGCACCCGACCCGGATCACAAATGGGCATTGACTCAGCATCACATGGGAACCCAACGGGCAGAAGAACTCCAACGGTCAGGAATTCCAACAGGTGCCACTTTACTACCATTGAAGCCAGCATTGAAGTCCCCATTGATGAGAGAGAGTTAAAGGCTAGGCTCCCCATTTATATCCCATGTTGTTACCGTTAGGACTCTAAGTATAAATGGGACTCCTCTCAGCTAGCAATGGAGACACTGTACTTTCTATACTGAGAGAAGAAGCAATACAACTATTGTTACCCTCTTTTAGCATTATTATATTATTGTTTACCGGTAACGTTATTACCGTCATTGGTGCTTTCATTGAGAGCCTGAGTCCAATACTCAAGCAGGCTACGACAAAAACTCATTCCTCTTTCAACAGCAAGCTTGAAAGAATGGCGTCCCGCAGCTCCCACGGTTCTCGCAACGTGAACAATGGCAATGTGAACAATGACAACGCCTCAGGCGACCTCCGTGACCTACTCACCAACAATCGCGGAGGGGACCTCCGAGAACATCTCAACAACGGGAGGCCCGGGGACCTTCGCGATCAACTCAACGGGGACCTCCGAGACCAGCTCCACAATGGAGGGGCGAACCAAGTCATGAACCTCCAGGCAACCATTCAGCAGGCAGTAGCGGCGGCACTAAACCAGGTGGCGGTGGGACTACAAGGTCGAGTGCCCCCGCCGCGGCCTCAGGAAATAGAGGTAGAATCCCCACGAAGAGTGGATGCCCAGGACGCGACCCGTGCCGCGAGAGACGCAGGGCGTCGCACTAGGACCGGGGGCCCGGGAGAGGGCACCCAAAGAAGCGGACCGGCCGGACGGCAACCTAGGCCCTCCCGGCAAAGGCCGGAATCGCGTGCCGAGGGGTCTTCCGCTAGAGGCCCTCATCGACACGAGGAAAGAGAAGCGGAAAGATTGCCCTCAGAAAGGATGGGCGAGTCTCGTGGGCCGGCCCCGCGCCGGCACGGTGACGAGTCGGCCCCGCGTCGACACTCGGATGAGCGGCGCTTCGATGAACCGGCCCTGCGTCGGCACTCGGCGGAGCGACGCGTCGATGAGCCGGCTCCGCGTCGGCACTCAGCGGGCGAACGACGCATTGGTGAGCGGGTTCTACACCAACACATGGAGGGACGAAACGTCGAGGAACCAGCTCCGCGTCGACACTCAGAAGGACGGCGCGCCGATGAACTAGCCCCGCACATGGAGGAGCGGCAGCCCGCCCCGCGCCGGCACCCTGACGAGTCGGCTTTAGTCGAAAGGCTGCAGAGAAGGATCGAGGAGCTAGCAAGAAGGGTAGAGGCACGGGAGCAGTCGCCGGAACTTGAGGTACGAATGGCAGCACCGTTCTCCCCAAGCATCATGGACGTACCTCTGCCGAGGGACTTCAGGTTACCCGCCATCAAGGCGTACACGGGAGCCACTGACCCACGTGTCCACATGACTAGGTACAAGGCTGCTATGGTAATGATTGGGGCAGGGGACGCCATCATGTGCCGAGCATTCTTGTCCACCCTGGATGGAACGGCCCAAGATTGGTTCAACACCATCCCAGACGGGTCAATCCAAAACTTTGGAGAGTTGTCCAAAAGCTTCCTGACGTACTTCTCAGGTAGCATACAGCGCAAAAAACCGTTCTTCCACCTCTGTGTGGTAAAGCAAGATAGAGGCGAGAGCCTCAAAGACTTCCTGATCAAGTGGAAAAAGGAAGTCAATAATGTCTACGATTTCGACTCCAAGGCTGCGATCCCGATATTCATCCACGCCTTGAGATCAAGGTATTTTCACAAGCAGCTGAACGGCACCACCCCCGTTCGTACGAAGATTTGATGAGGACGGCTAGCCGCTATGCCGAAGCAGAGGACGTCGACAGGAAGAAAAATGATGAGGAGGACGGCAGGAAGAATGGGAAACCTGGGAAAGTTGGTCCGCCCAGCCAGGCGCCACGTTCGAACCACCCGGCCGTAGGGAAAGGCCGGGACCATGAACGGCCTCGCCTGGTTCCCTTGCGTAACCTAACTCCGCTTACCCATCCCGTCAGCGTCATCCTAAAACAGGCTGAGGAGATGGGAATAGTCGAGTTCCCACCGGAATGCATGAAAGTCTCCCCAAAGGGAGACCAAGCAAAGTACTGCAGGTTCCATAGCAACCCGGGCACGACACGGACGAATGTAACGTGCTAAAGAGACAAATAGAAGAACTCATCCAGCAGGGCTACTTTCGGCATTTTGTCAAGCGATCTAAGCAGCAGCAACAGCCGCAGCGCGACCCATCAAAAAATCCACCAAAAAAAAAAGGGGGGGGGGGGGGCGGGGGGGGGGGGGGAGAAAGTATATTCATACATGCATAAATACGTTGTAAAATAAAATTACAAAATAATAATGACAGCGAAGACTTACAGAACTGTGGCAGAAAGTTGTTGAAGAAGTGCTCTCAGATTGCTCAGAGAGACAGGGGTTTATATTGGAGAGGAGCTTGAGATAAAAAAGTTAAGTGAAGCAGGAAAAGATTGGGAAAGCACAAATCAGGGATTTGGAAGGCAAGTTGGGGATTTGGAAAACAAAATCAAATATCCTAAATCAAGCAGATTTCTACACAAGATCAAAACAGATTCAGCTTTACTCCCAAGTCAGCTCAAACACATCCGTTGACTCATGAGTAGGGGGGACTGGTGACACGATAATAGGGCTGGCACCCGACCCGAATCACAAATGGGCATTGACTCAACATCACATGGGAACCCAACGGGCAGAACTCCAACGGTCAGGAATTCCAACAGGTGCCACTTTACTACCATTGAAGCCAGCATTGAAGTCCCCATTGATGAGAGAGAGTTAAAGGCTAGGCTCCCCATTTATATCCCATGTTGTTATCGTTAGGACTCTAAGTATAAATGGGACTCCTCTCAGCTAGCAATGGAGACACTGTACTTTCTATACTGAGAGAAGAAGCAATACAACTATGTTACCCTCTTTTAGCATTATTATATTATTGTTTACCGGTAACGTTATTACCGTCACAAGTATTTACCCAAATTCTTAACCATGTCTTGATGATGAGTTCATAACTCAAAAGTTATTAACAAATATGAAGAATTATTACTCATTTCATAGAAACAATAATTGAAGGTTCCAAACCAAACTCATAGTCATATATACACATAATATTTATATATAAACAATGGCATATGATTCAAAAACAAAAGTGCATAGTAAAAATGAACCAATAGTACCGTTCACCGGAGATTACAATAGAGACTCGTGCTGATAACGTGTTATAGTTTGGCCTATCAACTAGCTCAGTTCTCACGTGATGTTTGCACGGTAACTCGCCCGGAGGTTCATATATATATGTATGCATGTATACGTAAAGATGAACAAAAGGAGAAGAAGAGGAAGAACACCAAATGTAGGGCACAACAATATGTGTGTCATTTCATTAGCCTTCACTCCATTATATAAGGTTTCATACAACCTTTCACATACTCAACATCAATACATGATTAAAGGTTAAGCTATTGAAAGGTCTAATGGTTTAATGGCCACTAATAAAATATTTATAACACAAAAGACTTTCTTTTTGCTAGAAATTATTATAGGACCTAATTCATTCAACAATTGGATTTTTGGAGTTATCGACTTATTAGTCTAGGATTTCTTTTTTAGCCATACCATATCTTATTGGAGGTGTATACTTGTATTATGATTTATGAATTTAAATAATGATCACGATTAATTAAGAATATAAAAATTAAACTTATAAATTTTAAAGTGTAAAAATATTACATTAATTAAAATTTAATCACAATTGAGCCATGGGCCCACCCTTTTAATAAAACTCCAAAAGGGATAAATTAAAGTTAAAGGATTCAACTGCAACTTTTGAAACGAGAGGAGGTCCAAGTGCTAATGTAGAAAAACTTTTCAGGGCCAAAGTGCAATTATCTCAAATTACCGTTGACGTTATCATTTCTGGCGCTTCCCAGCGATTCAAAAATTCAATTCATTGAATCCGCTCATCTCCTGAGTCTTTGGTGGTACTTTTTGGAGTTTTTCCTGACCCGCCCGGTCGGACCGGTTCACCGCCCAAGAGCCCAAGACTATCCGTTACCATTTTTCCTTCTCCCATTTGGACACCAGACTCCGATCTACTTCCAAGAGTATTTGCAATCGCACTCCACACAGATTCGCGAAGAAGAAGAAGAAGAAGAAGGAGAGGCAGTATGAAGACGAAGAAGCCACTGGCGGCACTCAAGCTCTCCGTTCCGACTCAAGAGACCAACATTTCCAGCTTCCTGTAAGTCTATCGTTTGATTCTGTTGGGATGATCGATTTTAATTGAGATATTCCTTGAAAATGGCGGCGTTGACGTTTGTGTGCGTGATTTTGAACCGCAGGACCGCTAGCGGAACATTTCACGATGGAGACTTGCTTTTGAATCAGAAAGGATTGAGATTAGTTTCACAGGAGAATGAATCTCAGGCAATTAAGTTCTATGCTGTCAACCTTTATTTTATTTTCCCCTTTTAAATTCATGATTCTGAAATTGATATCCTTCAACGTTTTCTGTTTTGAGTATCGCGAAGCAATTTGTTCAATGTTTTCTAATGAAGGTAAATTAGATGGAAATTGACTCTGTGCTTGAAAGTAATAAAAAGGACGGTTAGCTAATTACTAAGGAGTAGGAAGGATTAAGGATTGTTAATGTCTTTAGTGCATTGGATACTAGGTTTACTTGCCTGCGTTTTTAATTTTTGCAGCCTTCAGAATCAAAGGAGATTGACCTCCAGTTCTCATTGGAAGATCTTGAGACCATCAAAGTCATTGGAAAGGGAAGTGGAGGTGTAGTCCAGCTGGTTCGCCATAAATGGGCTGGCACTTTGTTTGCTTTGAAGGTGAGTGTTAGCTTCACGAGTAGTATGTTCATCAGTTCATGTTTCCTTCATTGGTTAAGGAATTTAAAGCATATCATTTGTGTGCATTTCTAGTTATGACGTCTAAAGGTTCCCTAATTTGGTCTTATTTATACACATACTGATTAAGAAGTAACATTCAGTAATGCACTTGTCCTGTTTGAGTAAACGTTCCTGGTATTTTGGATAGATAAAGATTGCAAAATTTGTCTTTTTGATGTCCAAATGTTTGAGCCTCACATCACTTTTATCTGGCTGTTGTTTCTTTATGTGGATTTTTAGTTTATGCGCATCTTTTATCTTAAGCTAGTTGAGTTTTTTTAAATGCAGGTTATTCAAATGAATATACAAGAGGAAATTCGTAAACAAATTGTGCAAGAGCTGAAAATAAATCAAGCATCACAATGTCCTCATGTGGTTGTTTGCTATCACTCGTTCTATCACAATGGAGCTATTTCTCTGGTGTTTGAATACATGGATCGCGGATCATTAGCAGATGTAGTAAGACAAGTTAAGACAATTCTTGAACCATATCTTGCGGTTGTTTGCAAGCAGGTATTGACATTTCAACTTTGTAATTTGATTTTTGAACGCATCTTGGCAGTCTTTAATATGATTTGCTACTTAACGAATGTATTCCAGGTCTTACAAGGTCTTGTCTACTTGCATAATGAGAGGCATGTAATCCACCGCGACATTAAACCTTCAAACCTGCTTGTGAACCACAAAGGAGAAGTGAAAATTACAGATTTTGGCGTGAGTGCAATGCTCGCCAACTCTATGGGTCAAAGAGACACATTTGTTGGGACTTACAACTACATGGCTGTGAGTAGAGCAATCATCATTGTATCAACTCTATTGATTAAACACAATATTAGTTGCTTTAATTTTTCTAGGTTCTCCTTACTATTTTGTCCATTGCGTGTCATTTCTGATTGTTTAAATGTGGCTTCCATCTTGCTGGTGCTTAAATTCCAATTGAGATAATTATGTAAACTAACGTATTATAAACCTTTTTCAAGCCTGAAAGAATTAGTGGAAGCACCTATGACTATAAGAGTGACATCTGGAGTTTGGGCATGGTGATCCTTGAGTGTGCCATTGGACGTTTCCCTTACATACAGTCTGAAAACCAGCAAGAATGGCCAAGCTTTTATGAACTCTTGCAAGCAATTGTGGGAAGTCCACCACCTGCTGCTCCACCAGATCAATTTTCCCCAGAATTCTGTTCATTTGTCTCTGCTTGGTAAGATCCATAGCATCATAGACATAAAACTTTGTTAAACATGTATTGCCTCATCTTTGTTTTTGAAGGAATTATGTTTCTTAAACTGTTTTCTTGTTTTGCTCAGCATACAGAAGGATCCGAGAGACAGATCTTCAGCTTTGGACCTCTTGGTCAGTAAACAACATCAGTTAGTAACTATATCCATACTTTTTTCTCTTCTTGTTGTGGTTAATATTTGATTGTTTTTGCATGCCCAGACGCACGCTTTCATCAAGAAGTTTGAAGACAAGGACATTGATCTCAGCATCCTGGTTGGTAGCCTGGAACCTCCTGTAAATTTCCCACGGTAATTGTGTTGCTGCAATGATCTGTACTCATTAAAAAAAACTGCTTCCCCATTAATAGCTAGCGATTATCTCAACCGTTGCGTACACTGAGAGTAGCATTCTGCTGTACTTTTCTTGAACCCAGATTCTATACTATTTTCATTTTCAGTCATGTGAAATATGTAGTAAGCCCTGCTATTGCTGTTTTATATTTGTTCCTAATGCAATGCGTTTAAATGATGTTGTAGAGATCATTGTAGAAAAAATGGCAGTGTAATACATGCATCTCCAATTCATGGTTTAACTTTGATTTTGAAGTTTGTTCAATTTTTCTTGATCATATATATGTCTGTGTGTTCTGAGACCATCTCCAAAGAGACGGTAAAACAACATTTTGCCAAAAAATTTGGCGCAGTACTATTGAGCTTGGATCCTTCTTGTGCTGGTTTCAATATCTCCATCAGTTGAGTATGTCTTATAATAAATATGAGTGGAGCATGTTTAGGTTTTCATATTATGTTTGTAACCTTAGATGTTTTATCATCACAATTATAATTAATACAGAGTAAAAGAATAGTTTCACTTCTATACATGTAAGTATTGGTGAGCAAAAAAAACAGACTGACCAGAAAATCCACGATCAAATTGAATTGTCCAAATATTTCGATTTTTGGTAAAAAATAATTTAGTTATTTCAGTTTTTTTGGCTGGTTATCAATTTTTTAAGAGAAAATCGAAAGCAGACTGAAAAATCGAAAACTAATCCAAAGAAAAAAAATATATAACCTCCTTTCATTTACATTTTGCAAGTTCATAGTCTATCACATTAATTTTAATGACTAATTGGGTTGCACTGCATTTGTTAACTATATAATGGCAAATTATGTTGTGCACACGGTTGCAAAAACGGCGTCGTTTTACATTTACAAAAAAATTATTTTCGATTGCCGGTTAGTTACGTAAACATATGTTCATAATTTTATAATTTCACATACTGAATGTATAGTTATGAAGTTATGGATGTGTAGTTATGCAATTCTGAATGTATAGTTATGAAGTTATGGATGTGTAGTTATACAACTCTGAATGTATAGTTATGAAGTTATGGATGTGTAGTTATGCAATTCTAAATGTATAGTTATGAAGTTATGGATGTGTAGTTATGCAATTCTGAATGTATAGTTATGAAGTTAATGGATGTGTAGTTATCCAATTCTGAATGTATAGTTATAAAGTTATAGATGTGTAGTTATGCAATTCTGAATGTATAGTTATGAAATTATGGATGTATAGTTCTAATTGTGCACAACATAACGCCGTTAACGACAATCGAAATTGATTTTTTTTTTTTTTTAAAGTTGGACGTCAAAATGACGTCGTTTAAGCAACCGGTTGCACAACATAACGCTCCCCAATGTATAAATATAGTCTATTTGTATCATACTAAACTATTATTGTACTTGAGGACATTAATTTTAATTGATTAATTATAAATACTAAGATATTATTTATTTTCTTTAATAATTTAGTCTACTAGTAATTCACCCGCGCGATGCACGGAAAAAAATTATGCTATTATAAATAAAAATAAAAATAGAAAAACTAAAATATTTTAAATTATTTAATATAATAATATTTTTGAGCTTCCATTGGTCAAGTATTTATTATTTTTATAGAATACAACATTACAATTAAAATTAAAATTATAATTATAATTATAATTTTGTATGGTTAATATAATCTCTAATTATGTGCATATTCAAATAAACTTATAGAGATAATTTACATAATTACATTGATTTATTATTAATTGTATTTCATCTATATTATAATTTTCACAATACAAATAATATCTAAGATAATTACATTTGGAAAGCAAATTTCAAATTTTGTATGTGTAAATTTAAACTCTAATTGAACGCATTTTTTATATAATTATATAATATATAGCTATTTTATTTTTCAAAAGCATATTTTTTATATGATTATATAATATATAGCTATTTTATTTTTAAATGTTGTGCTTTTTTTTTTTTAAATAATAAAGGATGTTGTGGCATTAATTATAACATTAATTATTTCCCAAACCATATAGCTTTATTATATAAAGGATTAGCATTAGCCAAATAAATAAAATAAATTTAGCTATTTTACAAAAAAAAAAGGGTTATATTTAACCGATCGAAAACCCCCGATTTCAGTTATGAAGGTTCATTTAAAATTGCTATTATTAACCAAAAATCGATTAACCTGACCGATGTTCACCCCTAGATGTAAGTTCATTGTCGAACCACGTAGATTTTGCTTCTTTAAAAAAAAAAAAAAAAAAAAAACTTTCCGTCATTGTTATTGTTTTTGTTCTAGTTAATCTCAACAATATTGAATATATATTAATTAAAAATGAATTACATAAGCAGATTGTCGAACCACGTAAATTTTACTCTCTCTCTCTCTTTTTTTCTTTTTTTTTTTTTTTAAACTTTCAGTCATTGTTATTTTTTTGTTCTAATTAAGCTCAATAATATTGAATATATATTAATTAAAAATAAACTACATAATTTCAACAAAATAAATATTGTGGAATAAAAATATTATTTGCATTGTAATTATATTTTATATTAAAATAATTAAAGTATTAATGTAAATTTTTATTTTATGAGAATATAAATTATTTTAGTGTAGAAATAAAATTTGGAGTGAATGAGTTGGAGATGAATAAAATTTAGTGTAAGAATATACTGAGATTATATTTCATTTGGTTTTAGTGTTTTGAATTGGAGATGGCCTAAATGAGTAGAGCCATCTTTATGCATTTTGCCAAATGTGATTAATCTAGTCAAATCTTAGTCAATCATCTCTATTTTTTTTTTTTTTTTTTTTAATGTCCCTTACCTTTTGTATTGAGTAGTACTGCATAATAAATTAATAAGAAATTAAGTACTATTGCGAAATGAGTTTCAATATTTATATGATTCTATGAGAAGTTGGGAACTATTGCAAACTATTACTAATAATGATGGGGACAAATTATACTGTGGACCATGGTCCTCACTCTACATTTGTCCACTTTGCAATGTGTACAAAATGTAATTATAAAACATTATTAATTACAATAATTTATTTAGAGATTTTGATGACTCTGCTTTTGGACTGAACTCACTGACGGTACACAAGATCAGACCAGGGCAATGTTGAGTTGTGAGTGTCGAAGGATGCACATGAGTACATGACTTGTGGAAATCAGTGGATCATGGCTTCATCATTGTAAGTATACTGGAAGCTTTGAATGGAAGAAGTGGAGTTCTCATTATTCAAGTAACAAGTATTCAGTACAGAGTGATGCAAGTATATATATGAAAGCTAAGGAGGGAAAACTACTGCTATATCCAATGGAACAGTACAAGGGGGAAAACAGAAGCAGTTGTAACAGAATAACAGAAAAGAAGAAAGAAGATCAAGTTACACTAATGCCCTTGTGATCTTGTGTTGCCTTTCTCATCACCCCCCCCCCCCCCCCCCTTAAGCTGGAGCATGAACATCTTGAAGGCCCAGCTTAGAGTGGAAATTAGCAGGATGAGGTAAGGGCTTGGTGAGACCATCAGCCACTTGCTGCTGAGAAGTAATTGGAAGCAGTTTGATGAGGCCTTCTCTGACCTTTTGCTTGACAATGTGGCAATCTATTTCAATGTGCTTTGTCCTCTCATGGAAAACAAAATTTTCCCCTATAGCTATAGCTGATTGACTGTCACATAATAAAGGGGAAGGCATGTCCAGATTGACATTTAGATCTGCTAGTAAGTAGTGTAGCCATTGGATTTCACAAACAGTAGAGGCCAGGGCTCTATATTCAGCTTCTGAAGAAGACTTTGAGACAGTGGCTTGTTTTTTTGTTTTCCACGAAATCAGATTGCCACCAAGATATATGCAATAACCAGTGATTGATTTCCTAGATTCTGGACAATTTGCCCAATCAGAATCTGAAAAACCTTGCATTTTAAACTGGGAATTCTTATGATAGAACAATCCTTTTCCTGGGGAACTTTTGAGGTATCTCAAGACTCTATGTGCTGCAGTGAGATGATCTTGTGTTGGCTTGTCCACAAATTGACTTAGCTGTTGGACTGAATGAGAGATATCTGGCCTAGTGTTGGTCAGATATAAAAGCTTACCAATCAGCCTTCTGTAAGTTTCAGGTCTATCCAGCAGACCATTCTGTGAGTGTATGAGCCTTGTACCAGTAGTGGCTGGGGTCCTTGCAGGCTTAGATTCAAGAAAACCATTTTCCTTCAGGATTTCAAGGACATATTTTCTCTGAAACAAGTGAATCCCTTCAGGTGTTCTGACTGCCTCAAGTCCTAGAAAGTAGTTCAAACTACCAAGGTCCTTGATCTTGAAAGATTTATTCAGAAAGTCCTTTAATGCATTGATTTGCAAAGTGCTTGTTCCAGCCACTAGAATATCATCCACATATATTAATAGAGCTGTGAATGAGTCACCTGAAGTCTGTGTGAGAAGAGAGGGGTCTGCAACAGATTGCTGATAACCAATGTCCTGCAAGGCTTTTGTTAACTTAGCATTCCATTGCCTACTGGCCTGCTTCAAGCCATATAAAGATCTAAGTAACTTGCATACTTGCTTTGGCTTATCACTATGAAAACCAGGAGGCAACACTATGTAAACTTCCTCCTCAAGATCCCCATGTAAGAAGGCATTATTTATGTCCAACTGTTGGATATCCCAATTCCTTGCCACTGCCACAACTAGAAACACTCTTATTGTTGTCATCCTTGCAACTGGTGAGAATGTCTCAGTATAATCCACCCCCAATCGTTGTGTGTAATCTTTGGCCACAAGTCTGGCTTTATACCTTTCAATGGACCCATCAGCTTTGTGTTTGACCTTAAAAACCCACTTGCATCCAATTGGGACTTTACCAGGTGGAAGGTCAGTGAGGGTCCAAGTGTTGTTGGCAACCAAGGCCTCTATCTCAGTTGTCATAGCCTTTCTCCATGATTCATCCTGTACTGCCTCATTGTATGATTGTGGCTCATGAGAGGATAGGATGGAAGATGCACATATTCTATAGTTATATGGCAGATGTTCATCAGAAATAACTTTGTCAAGAGAATGTGGAGAAGTTCTCACATCTGTGTCATGTTTTCTCATAGAATGGCAATAATAGTCATACAGTCTAGGAGGTAAATTCCTTACCCTTTCAGATCTTCTTGGCTGTATGTGATTAGAAGACTGTCTTTGGGAATTCACCTCTGTATTTGTCTCATCATTCATCTCATTAATATCAGAAGCAGATAG